GGATGAAGATAACTATATTTTCACACTATGAAGACGACTATGCAAATATTGGACATTAGATGAATCTCAACCTAACTGTGCGTTATACCTTGAGGATGCCTATTACAATCCAATAAAGAAACTTTGTATGGTAGCCTTTGTAGAGTTTATCTAACTGTCTTTATATTCAGCCAGGAAAGTTAAAGGCAGAACTTTTATTATTGTTTAGGTAGCATTTGCCACCTTTGCAACATCATCACACTATAGATACCTATACAGTCAGCAATCACTATTCCAAACCCTCTTTTACAAGAATTACAGATAGTCCTCAACTTGTGATCACAATTAAGCCCAAAATGTATGTTGCTGAGATATTTGTTAAGTGAATTTTGCCCCATTTTACAACCTTTCGTGCCACAGTTGTTAAGCAAATCACTGCAGTTTTTAAATTAGTAGCACGGTTGAGTGAATCTAACTTCCCCATTGGTTTTGCTTGTCAGAAGGGCACAAAAGGTGATGACATGACCCCAGCACATCATGATCGTCATAAATATGAGTCAATTGCCAAGTGTCTGAATTTTGATCACGTGACCACAGGCTTACTACAATAGTTGCAAAGTCATAAGTCACTTTTTTCAGTGCCATTGTAACTTCAAACAGTCACTAAACGGATTGTTGAAAGTTGAGGACTGTCTGTATTGAAGAGCTGTGGTAGTACAGTGGTTAGAATGCAGCATTGCAGGCTAATTCTCCCAACTGCCAGCAGTTCAATTCTAACTGGCTCGAAGTTGACTCAGCCTTCCATCCTTCCGAGGTCGGTAAAATGAGAACCCAGATTGTTGAGGGCAACATGCTGACTCTGTAAACCACTTAGAGCAGGGGTCTCCAACCTTGGCAACTTTAAGCCTGGCGGACTTCAATTCCCAGAATTCCCCAGCCAGCTGCTGGCTGGGGAATTCTGGGAGTTGAAGTCCTCTAGGCTTAAAGTTGCCAAGATTGGAGACCCCTGGCTTAGAGAGGGCTGTAAAACACTATGAACTGGTATTTAAATCTAAGTGCTATTGCTATTACCAAGTCAATTATCTACCATTCAATTATCTGAGCATTTGATTTTTGTTTCCTACATGAAAAAGTTTACATTTAAATTTCATTCTTTTGTTTGCATCTGATTTTCCACCGTAGGTCTGAATTTCTGTCTTGAAGGAACAGAGTGGACCCAGCTACTGCTGACATAAAGCAATGAGAAACTTTCTTGCTTTGGCCCCACCCTTTCTTCTTCAATGTGGTCTCTGAGGGCTACAGAAAGCTTGCCCGTGAGGTCATCAGACTGGGAGAGGCCAAATGTTTAGCAGGTGTTGGGGGATAGCTCTATTAAGCCTTACAAATACCCATCTGGTCTCTTAATTGCCTGCTAAGAAGAAAAATTAGCTAAGATGTGGCTGGCTAATTGATGGCTCAGCACAGCATGTGAAACAACCTTAGGAATCTTTCTTGAGAGGAAAAGAAAAGAAAAAACTCCCAAACAAGTCATTTTTTTTCCAATCAAGTAAAAGCAGAGTCATGTTAATCTCTTCTAGCTTATGTAGTTAGCCTGTGATAGCCAGTTTCTTTATGATCTTTGAACAAGAACTGGGTTAAAAAATAAATTATAGATTTTATTTTACTAAGTATTTGGGGAACCTTTTCACTTGCAAACAATGGTTTAAGAAGATTTAGTGGATTGAACTACTTGAGAAAATGTCACTTGCTCTAAAATGAAATAGAAAAGTATTACATTATCAGGAATGGCAGGGTTCAATCTTTTCCATCTATAACAAAATGAATACCATTAGCATATATAAAAATTTTAAATTTAATGGCCGGATATAATAATGTAGAAGCTATTGTATGTAGGGCAATGTAATGAAACATTAATCCTAAAATTTCTAAAAACAATTTCATATGGTTTATCCTAATTCCACACACTGATTTCAGAGAGATTTGGGCCATGCAGCCCAATACTTATCAAATATCTATTCAAATGCTTATAAACTGCACTTTTTGGCCAATGGCCAGTTGTAGCAGCATTATATAAACAACCATGAATGCAAAGATACTAACACCACAAATGTGAAAACAAATTTCACGCAGAGCTAACAATGACTGCCCAACAATTTTGAAAAAGAAATAGGCTGGAGTCACAAAAACTGCTCAGCTGAAATGTTCGTGAGCTTTTTGGGGGGTTTGAACTGTGAATATAATTCACAAGAAGCTTTGCACAATGTGTGAGTCCAGCCTAATAGGACTACCCCACAAGCATGTTAATCTAAATACATTCTGACTGAGGAACTCTGGGAGTTGAAATCTTAAAGTTGCCAAGTTTGAAAATACTGATCTGAGGGGTCCATGCTGCACTGTTTTCTTGCAGACATTTCATTATCCAAACTAGGAAACTATCAGTGATCTGCAAGAAAACAATCAAGCTCAGAGAACACCAAGGACCCACCTTTCATTTCAACCCTAAGCTACAAATATTCTCCTTTATTAGTACACTGATCTAAATCCATCAGTTTTCTGCAACTCTCTGTAATTCCCAGCTAATGTATAAATCAGATTTAAAACACAAAGTTTTGTAGATGAATCAGCACTTGTGTGTGTCATTCCAAACAATTCCAAAGAACTCTTATTTCAATGTTTATTATGGCCTCAGCTGCTTTTGTTATTTTTGCAGACTGGTCTTATGTTTGTTTACTTTGAATTAATCCCTACTGATTTAAATAGGAAGTACTACCAAAGAAGGTTTGTAATTTATTTGCAGCCATTTTTATTCTGGTTTAATCATTGATTAGCTTCAATCCCAGCTTTCCTTCAAAGTCGGATATCTGAGTGCATAGGGTACCCTATTGAATGTTATTCTCACAACAATCCTGTGAGGTAAGTAGAACTAAAATGTGCTTGACCTAAACTCATTTGGGGAGTTTTCACAACTGAGAATGGACTTGAAGCTGAAACTCCAGGATTCTGGTATAGCACCTGAACTAGTTGTCTCATACAATCGCATCCAGTTCATCCAAAGTGAAATATATCAACAGAGAAGACTCAGAAGAATAATTAGGCAGAAGCAGTGGTGGGATTCCATTTTTTTTTACTACCAGGTCGGTGGGCGTGGCTTGGTGGGCGTGGCAGGGGAAGGATACTGTAAAATCTCCAGTCAGAGGTGGTATTTGCCAGTTCTCTGAACTACTCAAAATTTCCGCTACCGGTTCTCCAGAACTGGTCAGAACCACCTCTAGGCAGAAGCCTAATTGAAAATTAATTCCAATGCACCTGAACAGGAAGAATAAGTAGCTTTAGAAATGATAATGAAAGTATCAAAGTAGTGGGTACCTTTTGCCTTTTAGGATAAACCATCAACAAAGGCACAAGCAATTAAGAAATACTTTATAGATAACACTAGGTAGAGCAGCTATGAAGGTGTTAGAGAAGATATTCAAATGCTTTGAACCCTGACCCCACAAAATTTGGAATCTGCAAGCTAACACTGTTTAGAAGCAAACGTTGGAGTTTAAAGAAACAGGATAGAAAAAATATTGATGTTTTTGATCACTGATGTTGGAGGAGATTCCCAGGAGAGCCAAGAAAACAAACCAATGGATCATTGAGCAAACTGACCAAGCTCTCACTCGAAGCATAAATGCTCAAGTTCAGATGATCCTAGTTCAGACACAACATCCATGGACCCAGCTCTCTGGAGAAGACTCCAATGCTGGGAAAGGTTGAAGGAAAGAGAAAACGACCAGCGTCATAGTGGATGGCTTCAGTTATAGTGATGACAGGTCTACTGTTGAGGGACATGGTAGGGATAGATCGTCTGGGGGGAAAAAATCTGTATGATCACTGGTTGAAAATGATTTAATGACACATGATCAATCAATCATCTGAACAGCATCGGATTAGGCAAAAGAATAGAATGGGAATTGAATACAATATGGAATAGAAATCAGAACAGAATGGGATGGGATAGGAATATGTAGGAATAGGATAGGACCGGATAGAACGGAATGGGAATCGGAATTGAATAGAATATAAAATAGAAATCATAATAGAATAGAATGGAATGGGATCAGGATATGTAGGAATAAGCATAGGATAGGATAGAATGGAATGGGAATTGAATATAATATAGAATAGAAATCATAATAGAATGGAATGGGATACGTAGGAACAGGATAGGATAGAACGAATGGGAATTGAATTAGAATATAGAATAGAATAGAAATAAGAATAGAATAGGATGGGATGGGGCTAGGGGTAGAATAGAAGAGAACAGAATATGGGGAATGGAATAGCATAGAATAAAAGTCTTTATTGGCTAAGTGTGATAGGACACACAGGGATTTAAGGAGACTTCGGTGCATGAAGACCAGCTTCGCTAGCCTTTCAGGAGGCACCAACCCAGGCACTCCCGGGCGTTTTTATCGGCTGAAGTCCAAAACAGAATGACGTGGTTCTGAAGGGGGTTTTCCCACCAGGATAAACGAATTCCCAAGACCCGAAGTGCCGCCATCCCCGCCGGAGGCGCTAAAATCCCAATCCCGACGCCTCCACCACGTCAGAAGTTCATCAAGGACCGAAGAAGCGGTGGGGTGGGGAGAGAGAGAGAGAGAGAGACGGTGGGGCGCGAGGTTGAAAAGACCGCGCGAACCACAGGACTGACCTCCCGTCCGTCAGGCGAGCGCCCCAGACCCGGCGCCACGCAGGTCACTCTCTGCACCCCCCGCCCCCCCGCGAGACGGAGCAGCGGTGGCGGCGCCTTTCGCCGCGTCACGTGGTTCCGCCGTGACGTCATCCCCCCGCCCACTCCGGGGCATTTAGAACGCCGAGAAGGGATTTTCGAGGCTCAGCATCTGGGCGCGCGCGTGGCTCGGAGCGGACAAGCCAGCAGCTTGAGAGCAAGTGAGCAAACGAGCGAGGAGTAGCAGCAGCCGCCCCGGAGCAAAAACGAGCGCCGAGGGGGAGGAAGAAGCGACGTGATTCCTAACATTTTGCAAGCGACAAATCCGCCTCCTGTGTCCGAAAAGCGCCGCTCGGCAGCTCGAGGCGCTTGCAGCCGGAACCGGCATCAACCAGCAACAGGGTGCAGCAAATCTTCTATGGGGTGAGTAGCGGTTTGCCAGAACTTTTTGGGACGAGCTTCCTCGCCCTGACTTGAGGATTTTCACAAGTCTTCGTCCCCCCTCTCCCCTCTTTTGTAGTTGGGAATCTATTTGAGGGAGCGGGGGGGGGGAAACCTTGACGGCCCGAGAAGGAGCGAGCGAGCCTATGAATGGCTGCATTGTCTCGCAAGCCCTCGAGAAAGACTTGAAGGTGGCTGGAACCCGGAGGGGTGGGAAAAAAAGGAGAGGAAGATGCCCGAGCCGGTTGCATTGCGTGCAATTTAGGCGGGGCCGATTCCAGGCATTGGCTTTGGACCGGGGATATGAGATGGGGGAGCCAGGAGATGCTCTTGGCCTTTCGCTTGGACTGCAACTTCCCCATTATCCCCTTGCCTGGATCCTTGGAAAAGCAACGAATGGCGATTTGCGGTTGGTCCGGCGCGTATCGATAGGCGCGCAGAGTGCGAGCGAACGGGGATACTCCGACTCTCCGTGTTTGGATAGGGAAAGGTAGTGCAATGGGAGCGCGCAGAGAGTGAGGTTCTTCCCTTTGCCCGGGTGAGGAGGAGGAGGGGGGGTCCCTTCAATTTGAACAGGAGGGGGCGACGTCTGGGTGGGCGAAGGAGACACATGCACACACACACGCACACACCCGCCAGCGCTTCGGCTTGAAAGGCGCGCGCTCCCGCCCTTTTGTTCTGTGGCGACAAAACCTTTTTGGAGTCCGGCGGGAGCGGGTTAAAGTTGCTCACGCTTGAAGCGAGGAAGAAGGGGCTGGCCGCTGCTCCCACCTCTCTGCTCTGCTCCCCGACCCACCCAAGGGGGGGAGTTTCGCCTCAGAAAGCCTCCCGGGTGACTCCGGGGCAACCTTTGAGGTGTTTTTACAAACAAACGAACAAAAAACCTCTCCCGCCCGGCCTTCCCCGGAGAGTGAGTGCGAGCCGGGAGGGGGGGGGGGCTCTTGGAAACGTTTGACAGCTCCGCCGCTTCCCTACGTGAATCATCATTCCCGGGGAAGCTTTTGAAAGCTCCAGGGAAATTGAAATCGATCAGAATAGAGCTGGAAGGGACCCTGGAAGGTCTTCTAGTCCAACCCCTGGCTCGAGCAGGAGACCCTCTACCACAGGGGCCCCCAAACTTGGCAACTTTAAAACTTGAGGACTTCAACTCCCAGAATTGTTTGGCAGGGATGAATGCCAAAGATCTGCAAGGAAGCATCTATCGGTGACACAAGGGAAAAAAACAGCTTGTATTATCACTAAACAGTCTTCCTGCAGACCCAAGATATTCTCTTTTGTCTTTAGCTATAAAAAAAACTGTCATCCAGGGAGAGTCCACATAAATGAATGCAAAAGTGTTGCTCCTACTCAAAATTAAAAAAAACAAAAACCTTAACAGTTACGGAAAGCTCGAGATGCATAGCAACACTTTGGAAGGCAACTTTTGTCATAGACCCAGTAGCACATGTGGCTCATCAGTTTCCTTTTACAAAGGACCACCCAATTAACTACAGTTACAGTCATCTAAAGGAGTCTGATGATCAAGTGAAATTTCAACACAACCCTCCTTTTGATCAATGCTTGATCTAAGTGGATGGCTGCTTCCTGACAAGCTTAGGCAGATAGCTAAAACCAAGGCATTAACGGGATAATGTGTTGAGGTACAATGTAGAGCAGGGGTCTCCAACCCTGGCAACTTTTAAGACTTGTGGACTTCAACTCCCAGAATTCCTCAGCCAGCAAATCAAAGCTTGCTGAGGAATTCTGGGAGTTGAAGTCCACAAGTCTTAAAGTTGCTAAGTTTGGACTTAGGTCACTTAGGTGACTGACTAACCAGTCTCTTCTTAAAAACCACCATTGATGAAGCATTCCCAGCTTCTGAAGGCAAAGCTGTTCCATTGCTTGATTGTCCTCACTGTTAGGAAGTGTTTCTCCTTAATTCCAGGTTGTGTCTCTCCTTGATTAGTTTCTTGTCTTGCCTTCTGGTGCTTTGGAAAATAAATTGACAACCCCCCCCCCTCCTTCTTTGTGGCAGCTCCTCAAATACTGGAAGACTCCCACCTTTGGTCTTTCTTTTCTCTAGACTAGCCATACCCAGTTCCTGCAACCATTCTTCTTATGTTTTTTGTCTCCAGGCCTTTAATCACCCTAGTTGCTCTTCTCTGCACTTTTTCCAAAGACTCAACATCTTTTTGGTAATGTGGTGACCAAAACGAGATGCTGAATCTCAGGATGATTAGATTACATTAGATTCAACTTTATTGTCATTGCACATGAACACAGGCAACGAAATGCAGTTAGCATCTAACCAGAAGTGCAAAACAGCAATGAATATAAATAATCTATGGATATACAGAGTATATATCTATGAAAGGAATATATACGACTGGACAAAGTGTTTATACCAAAATTCAATATGTTCACAAGCACTTTGTCATCCTGAGATTCAGCATCTCGGGGTGGGCCAAGGTAGCCTCAGACCTTTGATTTAATGTGTGGGGCAAACCATTCCAGCGAAGAGGTCTGCTCAGCCTAAGCGGATGGTTTATCAGCCTTGGGTTCTAAATTCCTGCCATTTTTATGACTTGTATGCAAACTTTTTTTTCCCAGGGTGTTTCTTTTGCCACTGTTTCTGGTTTTTAAATGATTCTGCTTATTGAAACTAGGGAATATTTGCAAGGATGAAAAATATATCCATAAGCCCTACAGAGTTTCCTGCTGGATCATTCTAGTAAGGCAGAAGAATCCCCCATCTTTCCTTCTAGTGCTTGAGCATTAGACATCTTAAAATAAGAAATGCAGGCTTTGTGCAAATTGTTGGTGGAGGGGAGATAGCTTTGTCTCTCTCTGATATGTTATAAGCAAACAATGATTGCATGAGAAATTTGTGCTGATTCAGGCTTTCAAATGAGTCCTCATTTCATTAAGACTTTGGTGACTTTTAAGAGTAGCTGTAATCTCTAATCTTGGGGACCATGACCTGGATGATGGACAATCTCCATAAACACTAATCTTGGGGTGTCCCTATTTTCTTACCCTACACAGAAACAATCTTGGCTTGTGAGCAGGAGAGACGTAACCTATTTAATCATGTTTTGTATGATATGTATATATATTTTCAGAATACTTTTCACATTCCTTTGCTAGGTCCAAATGTTTACAAAGAGCTATAAAGTGGTTATATATAGTTAGTCCTTGACTTACAGTTGTAATTGAGCCTAACAATTATGATCATAAAGTGGGCTACCATGTGACCAGACCTGTTTTTAAGACCTTGTTGTTAACTGAATCAATTGTTCACTATGTGCATTTTGTTGCCAGAAACTACCATGTTTCTCCAACAATACGGCCTCCCCCAATAGGAAGTCCCAGCATGTTTTATAGGCATGAAATGAAATTAAGTCCCTCCCCCCAAATTAAGGCCTATATTAAAACATGCGAAATGGGGTGGAATGGTGGGGGGGCTTGCCGTTAGGAAGTACTTTTGTTGCACACCCGGATATGGTGCTGCCTGTGTTGACACCGATACGAAGTGCCCCACCAACGCCGAGGTCAACATCCAAGCTGTCGCCGCCCGCCCGAAGATGCAAGGGGGGAGAAATTAAGTCACCCCCAAAAAGACGACCTAGCCGTTTTTTCGGAGCTCAAAAAAAAATAAGACCCGGCTTTATTATATGAGAAACACAGTAGAAGTAAATATACCAGTTTCTAGCTAAATGGTGTTGTAAATTGCAATCATGTGACCATGGGGTGCTACAAATGGGCATAAATGCAGGTTGAGCACCCAAAATCTGGTCACATGACTGGGAAGGCAATGTTGCAACTTGGAAACCAGGCCTTAAGTCCCTTTTTGGGGGAGGGATCAGAATATTGAATGATTGCTAAGCGACTATTCCTAAGTTGAAATGTGCCGTAGCCTGGGTACATGTAGAGTGCTAAGCTTTTGGTTTGTGCAATAGACCACAACAGCTGGATTCATAGAACCTGGAAGCCACACTAGAAATGGTGTGTAAAGCCAACCATTTTCTTTGATTCCAAGTCTATTGAGGCAGGAGAAATTCTCTCCAGTTTTTCCCCCTTGCTACTAAATGCCAGTGGAGATGCTGCTAGTACGTTTTTGTAAAGCAAATTCTTGAAGGCTGCTGTGTTAATTGAGGACACAATCGCATCGTTTTCAACCATCCTTTCATTTGCATTTCATGGTTGGCAAATACAGTAGCTCAAAGTGACATGCAAAGCAGGAACTTGTTTGGAAGAGTGTTGTTCAAAATACAGAGCTTCTGATGGCAACTGTTGAAGTTGGAACACACCCATCCATAGTGGACCAGAGGACAATTGGTGATTGTATTTATTCTCACTTGTTTTTTTTCTTTAAAGTAGGCTTTATTCATTTTGAGGAAAAGGAGTGCTTTTCTCCCTAGCTTGCATTTCCTTTCCAATTATTGTATTGAATTATTCCTCAAGTGACTGGAATATCTAAATGTTAATGTGTGTTGCACCTTCTAATAAAATATTTTTTTTTCTGATTAAAAAAAATTATATCTACCCTATGAATGAAAAAAGTTGGTAGGAAAGATGATTCATTGTGCATAAAAACCATTTTTTTCTGATATTGCTGCTACTCTGTAATGGGCAAAACAATTTTAATTGCTTTAGAAACTATACAGGTAGTTGTTGACTTAACACTAATGAAACACAGGTTCTCCAATATAAATCATGATGTCCTGTCAAGGTACCTACATGACTGCATTTTTGCAACAGTCATGACTCACCGGCTCAAGGTTGACTCAAGCCTTCCATCCTTCCAAGTTCCGTAAAATGAGGATCAATATGCTGACTCTGTAAACCGCTTAGAGGGAGCTGTAGAGCACTGTGAAGCGGTATATAAGTCTTAAGTGCTATTACTATTGAGTCAGTTCATTCCTATGGGCATTTCTGTTCAAAAGCAATGTAATTTACATTATATGACTGTGAAACGCTGTAACTGGCCAAAATGCAGTGAT